GGAAAATAAAAGCTGGAGAGCCCTTTGCAAGGTCTGGAGTAAGCTTTAAAGGGAGAGCGGTTTATTTGTGGGAGAGTTGGATTTAATGGTGCCGACAGCCTTATAAAAAGTCGGTTCCCCAGAAGTTTATGATTCGTGGGGAGGTTTTGAAATTGTTCGTGTAGATTTGTGGGCATCATGCAAAAGAGCAATCAGAAAACCATTTACAGCTAGCAACCTGACATCATCACCTGTGTGCACTAGTAATAAGCGACCGGCCAATCACTGCACATTCTCTGCTTCAATTTCTCTCCTCCTTCCTGTGTCTGGGGTCGTCCCATTTCCCCATTTCTCTCTCTCTTTCTCTCTCTATCTCTTTGTATCTCTGTCTTTCTCTTCCTCTCTCTCTCTACTTCCATACAATAAATCTCTTCATACCAGATCTTTTGAGCATGTGGCATTTTTAAATATATCTACAACAAGGTAGAGCCTTGTCTACCATGTGTTTCCCAGGTGAGTTGGCTCTGTGAAATGTTAGCTTTGGAGGAGATCAACCTCCGCCAACTACCTGCACCCTTTGGCACACTCGAGGCCCCTGCTGTCCAGACTTACTGGACAGTGTAAGTTATCAGTTGTGCACTGAAGAACGGCATAAAGGAGCCAGAACTATGAGCAGATAGCTGGTTTCCAGGTGGCCTGAGACAGAGACTGAGGAGAGGACCCAAGACAGGCAAGGCAAGGTGGACACAAGTGGCCCCTATCATTTCCCATCTAAGTAACACAGAGGAGGGGAGCCCTAAAGAATCTCCAAATATGACCCCTCCCCAGAAGCATACCAAGAAAGAGTCACACAGTTGGAGAACGGAGTCCTCCCATTTTCCTGTTTGTCCCTTTCAATCACTATCTCTTACATGGTCCAAAATCTGCCTCACTTTTCTTTGTTCATCATCAGATTTTAGGTCTGTTTATACAAGAAAAACAAATCTGAAAAGCCAGGGAAGTTCAGTTGTCTGGAATATAAAGGCCAAAGTAGTAGGTAGATTTTAAAAGGAGACTCCTGAAATGTCCCTACTATGTGTGTGTGCATTTTTATCATAATTTTTTTTTTTGTTTGTTTTTGAGACAGGGTTTCTCTGTGTAGCCCTGGATGTCCTGGAACTCTCTTTGTAGACCAGGCTGGCCTCAAACTCACAGAGATCCACCTGCCTCTCTCCCCCGAGTGCTGGGATTAAAGTCATGTGCTACCACTACTTGGCTTCATAGTTATCATTTTTAATCCTAGACAAATGTTTTTTTAAACTCCCGTGTGTGTGTGTGTGTGTGTGTGTGTGTGTGTGTGTGTGTGTGTGTG